GGGCCCAATTACCCTCCCCTTCCCCAATCTCCCCAATCCCTGAATCCCCAACGATCTTTAAACTCCTAATCCCCAAAAGACCGGTAAACCATTTGTAACACCTCTGGTGTTCCAAGTGTCCATGGGCGACGCCGATTGCTTACCATCAGGTGATCCGTATGCTTGTTTACAGGCTTATGCCATAAAAAAAAACAATTATTTATTACGTTACCGGCTGTTGATCCCACACAATTATCTTTCGCTAAATCGTCAGTCAATTCAAACGAAAACAATAAACACGCGATGAAATAAAAAGTTGGTACGGTGAAACAAATCTTAATCGTCACAACTGGTAACACTGGCATAATAAGTTAATAATCGGTTAGGCAATGCACAAACGTAGACACTTTTTGTTTTTAGTTATGGACTGTCAACTTTTTAATCGATATTGAGTGTTCAGTGCGAACTACAAATCATACTGGACACATACAGTTAATCAAATGTCATCACAATCAAAATTACCTAATTATGCCCCCCCCCCTCCCCCGTTCCCCACACCCTGAATCCTCCACAATAAATTCTAAAATTCCCAATCCCAAAAGGCCGGTGACGCACTTGTAACGCCTTGGTGTTTAGAGTGTCCATGGGCGGCGCCGATTGCTTACCATCAGGTGATCCGTCGGCTCGTTTTCCGGATTATCCCATAAAAAAAAGTCAAACTAATGTCCAAGTTTGCGCCCTGCCTTCATATAATGGTGCAATCAGCCTTTTTTTTATATTGCTTGACGATTTACGTTCATTCATGAGTTTAGAGTTGTAAACTGGGGTATTGGGTCGTCATGGTGTAAAATTTAATTATTTATTCACAGTACACCACTTAAAACAATGCTAAGCAAGACAAAGAATGTCATTTAGTCTCCACAGTGCACTCTGTCAAGTTGATCGACCGATTTTAATTGCTAATATCGATTAATTGGGTATAGCAATGCAAAACACATTTCGTTTCTTATATGAAATTTGCAATCCGCCTGTCAAACCTCAAGCGTGAAGTTACAAACATCGTAGAGTGAAGTCTCAAACCTTTTTATGCAGAGATGACCCTTAATCCTGCAGCAGCGGACTGTGATGGGCTGTTGATGAAGAATAGGTAGCCAGGTTTATCCTTAAACTGCCGACCTTAAGTTCATTTTATGTCCGAGCGTACGGCGCGTTGCGTTCCGCGCGCGTCTCAAGGAGCCATTAAACCACCACAAATGGGGCGCAGTAGGGCTGATGCCGCCGATACGGAACCATGGAAGACTGTTTGCCGGGATTACGGTTCGAAGTGCCGAAGTAGGTTCGAGGTGGTATTTAGTTAGTAAGAGTGTGCCACTTCCTCTCGCTTCACCCAAAGCTGGAGAACCATTTGATGATTTTTTTACCCCTCAAAAAAAAGGTCACTTTATGACATCAAAACTAACAATTATGTAGTTACCAAAAAAAATTAAAAACGTAGTTAACAAAACTACTATAATGCGGTAGTACTTGAACTAGATACACACACAACACGTCAATTTGACCGTATTTCTCAAGGTTAACCGTTAAACTATTTCGCCAGGTTAACTAATAATATAACAGTAACCACCGTTTATAGTGCACGTGAACAATGAACCGAATATGTGCATTACATGAGCAGTGAGTTTGGTTTGTGGCCACGAGAGCCGTTGGTCGCGGTCAATTATTATTTAGAACTCAGTTTAAATATTCGTGGTGTAGTTGGCTGTGGTCAGGTGACTTTGTGATGCTCTTATGTTTTAGTTTTGATTACTGTTTTGTGTCACATATGCAAAGAATATTACTACTCGGAGGGACTTTTCAAATAGTACAATAATGAAACTTATTGCAAATTGCAAAGCACCAGGATTCTAAATTCCTTTGTTAATTTACCTAACGAGAATTATTCATAGTAAAAACCCAAGAACTGCTACTTGGCTCCATTCCGACCAGGGAGAGTTGTGTGGTATATATGATCACGGTAAAACAAAGGTCTCTTAACATAGCTGACCAAGAATCAATCAGCCAAATAGTTAGGCCTTTATGTTACCGTCACCGGGACACTATTGCAGCGCAATCAATCGCCACTACCAACAAAATGTATGCAGCTCTATAGAGAGTTACTCATCTGGTGTCAGCTTGGTTGTGCAACCAATCTGTTCGAACGCCAGCACAGAACTTTACTGTTTGCTCATCAACGCTGGTCGCGCCACCACTAATTATCGTAGCGCTGTATGGGGTCTTACACACTTAGCCGCCAGTACAATTGCCACAGTGGCAGACTGGTTGCGCCACCATGGTGTCACGGTTAATATCCCTTAGGTATACAACATTTCGTAGTAGTGGGAAAACAATTCAATTATAAAGTACACTTGCTAATTTCCTGGCCCCACATAATGACGGACGACCGACTCTCATGTTCCGCTCGGCGTGTTTTGACTAACCAGTCCATTTCACACGATACAGGTGGAATACCAACTCCATGGTTACAGGTAGGTCAGGGTTTATGTCAAAATTTATTTTTATTTACTGGAAGTTGTCATTCCGCAGTCTAATATCGTTATTATGGAGCCGGAGCACCTCGGTTCTCCGTTGTTTTTAGTAATGAGAATGTCTCACGTAAAAAAGGACAGTCTCACGTAAAAAGCATAGGAAAAGAGGGATTGTAAAAAAAACCGTCATTTTTCCAAGACGTCATACCGGTGCCGCTCGCACCCGAAGCGAGCGGCACGCGGTTGAGGTTGCAGAATGAAAATCGGAAATTTTCAACAATCCCGGCACAACTACAAAATTACTGAACTAAATGGGTTAATCTGTGAGTTTTATTTCTTTACAGAACTGTTGTATTACTGAGATGAAACCAATATTACCTATTTCGAGTAAATAACGATTCACAGTGTATTTATAACTTCTGATATTTTTCCGGTTTGCGACATTAATGCAAAATATTTGAAATGAAATGTTAAGTTATTAATATTAATACCAGTCGTCGTCTCGACATCACCGTGCGAATTATTTCATTAAATTTAAATTAGTCTTGTTTTACCTGTATACATGGGCGGGTCTATTGAAACAAATGTTAAATATTCAAAAACGTAAATGCATATAATATTTAATTCAAAATCTAAATACGAAGTTTGTAACAGTGATAAAAAAATAATAAAACTATGAAGAAAGTATTAGTTTCCGTGTTTTTATGGATCGTGTTGTTTTATAATATATCGGACGCGAACGAATTGAAACTAAAGCAAGTATTGATATTCAGTAGGCACAATGTGCGGTATCCAGTTGCAGATAATCTGGAACGTTATACACAGAAACCATGGCCCACATTATCTGGACCAAAAGGAGCGCTGACGCCTAAAGGCGCACGGCTAGAAGGATACATGGGTGAATATTTCGCACAATGGTTCAATGACAATAAGTTTTTAAATGCTGGATGTCCTGATGACGATGAGGTGTACGTGTACACGAATACTGCGAGCAGAACTAAAGCAACGGCCCGAGCTTTCCTCGACTCAGCGTTTAAAGATTGCACCGTGCCTGTACATCATAAAAACATCGATGGCCCAGATCCTCTTTTCGCACCTGTAATACGCAACACTACGCAGGCTTACAAAGACATGGTAATGGAAGAAATCAAAAGAAAGGTATCAAACAATCAGAAACTCAAAGAGGTGTATTTGGAGTTGAACGACATATTGAATGTACAAGAGTCAGATGTTTGCAAAGAAGATGATATCTGTGATTTGACGGAGCCAAAGAACTCGATATTCTACGAGGTTGGTAAAGAAGTGTGGGTACACGGACCACTGATGATTGCTAATTCAGTGATGGACTTCTTTGTAATGACTTATTACGATGGTTTGCCAATAAAAGACATTGCGTGGGGGAACATCAGAAGTAAAGAAAAATGGAGAGTAATGACGGAGTTAGCACGTCAAGACCATGACATAAGGTACGGAACAGTAGCTGAAGATATCGGAGCACCATTAATGAACTATTTGAGGGAAACATTTCACAATTATGATAATAGGCCGAAGTTGACTTTGATAGTCGGTCACGACTATAATTTGAATAGTATAACAACAAATATGGGATTTCAACCAATAGATTTGCCGAAGCAGTTTGAGAAGTTTCCTATTGGTGGGAAGCTGGTGTTTCAGAGATGGACAGATGATGAAAATGACTTTTTGAAGGTGGAGTATGTGTACCCGAGTTGGTCTCAGTTGCGATGTGGGACAAAGTATTCTCGCACTGATCCGCCGCAGAGGGTCGTCATGAAGTTGAACTGGTGTTCAGACAAGACCGGACGCGGGTTATGTCCGTGGACTGAATTTATTAGTAAAGTGTAGAATGTATGTATCAAAATTAAAGTATTTCAAGATTTCAAGTTTTTTAAACGAGAGTTTATTTTTACGAATCTTGGTGACCTTGCTTTGGGTCCTTTTGTGATTTATGAAACAAGAGGAAATCTACTGCATGAACTCTACTGACTGCCTCGTTAGCCAAGCGGTCGCGAGCGCGACTGCCGCGCAAAGTATTACTGGGTTTTTTCTAAAAATCTCAGTTGTAGGACGGAATCTGGAATTGTGCCCGGTAAATGGCAATAGGCTCACCCCCTATTACATGGGACTCATAACATAAATAGTGAAAATTCGGTGTTACATTGTACAGTGGCATTAAGTGCCGTAATATACTCCTCTGCCTTCCTCGTCGGAGATAAAGGCGTGATGTTATGTTATGTGAGGAATTATAATATTTTTCCGGTTTGCGACATTAATGTAAATGAAATGTTAAGTTATATACCAGCCTATTCCTACACCACCGTGCGAGTTTTGTTAAATTTAAATTAGTCTTACTTTACCTGTAGACACGGCTGGGTCTATTTAAACAAATTTAATGTCAAACATTCAAAAACGAAGCTAAAATAATATTTTCCTCAAAATCTAAATACGAAGTTTGTAACAGTGATAAAAGGTTATAAAATGATGAAGAAAGTACTAGTGTCCGTGTTTTTATCGATCGTGTTGTTTTATAATATCGTGGACGCGAACGAATTGAAACTAAAGCAAGTTTTGATATTCAGTAGACACAATGTGCGGTATCCAGTTGCAGTTGCAGATAATCTGCAACGATATACACAGAAACCATGGCCCACGTTATCTGGACGAAAAGGAGCGCTGACACCTAAAGGCGCACGGCTAGAAGGATACATGGGTGAATATTTCGCACAATGGTTCAATGACAATAAGTTTTTAACTGCTGAATGTCCTGCAGACGACGAGGTGTACGTGTACACAAATACTGCGAGCAGAACTAAAGCAACTGCCCGAGCTTTCCTCGACTCTGCTTTTAAAAACTGCTCCGTGCCTGTACATCATAAAAACATCGACGGCCGGGATCCTCTCTTCGCACCTTTGGTACACAACTCTACACAAGCTTACAGAGACATGGTAATTGAAGAAATCAAAAGAAAGATGTCAAACAATGAGAAACTCAAAAAAGTCTTATTGGAATTGAACGACATATTGAATGTAGGAGAGTCAGATGTTTGCAAAGAGGATGGGATTTGTGATTTGACGGAGCCGAAGAACTCGATAACCTACGAGGTTGGTAAAAAAGTGTGGGTACACGGACCGCTGATGATTGCTAATTATGTGATGGACTTCTTTGTAATGACTTATTACGATGGTTTGCCAATAAAAGACATTGCGTGGGGAAACATCAGAAGTAAAGAAAAATGGGAAGTAATGATGGAGTTTGGACGTCAAGACCATGACATAAAGTACAGAACAGTAGCTGAAGATATCGGAGCACCATTAATGAACTACTTGAGAGAAACGTTCCACAATTATGATAATAAGCCGAAGTTGATTTTGTTAGTTGGTCACGATTATAATTTGAATAGTATTACAACAAATATGGGATTTGAACCCGTAGATTTGCCGAAGCAGTTTGAGAAGTTTCCTATTGGTGGGAAGCTGGTGTTTCAGAGATGGACAGATGATGAAAATGACTTTTTGAAGGTGGAGTATGTGTACCCGAGTTGGTCTCAGTTGCGATGTGGGACAAAGTATTCTAGCACTGATCCGCTGCAGAAGGTCGTCATGAAGTTGAACTGGTGTTCAGACAAGACCGGACACGGGTTATGTCCGTGGACTGAATTTATTAGTAAAGTGTAGCTTTATATGTTCTGTGGCGTAGATTTTTTGTATCAAAATTAAAATATTTCGAGTTTTGTAAACGAGAATTTATTTTTAAGAGTCTTGGTGACCTTGCTATGGATCCTTTCGTAATTAATTAAACAGGTTAGAAAATATTACCATTTTTTCTTTAAAAGGGCAGGGTTTTTGTTTCAATAGTGTACACATTTTGGTGACTTTGGTATGTGTGCTAGCCCGTATTAATTCAAATGAAATCAAACATCTTTTAAATACATTAATTACAGGCTGCTACTGAATTATTCTTCAGTTGCCTATGTATTTTTTGTGACTCAATACTGACGTTGGTCAGTAAGTCGCAAGTTTGAAGTGGAACTGGACTAGTCAATTTTGTCGAATCTCGGACGAGTTGTGGGCAAAACTCACTAATGAGTGGAGCCCGCTCAACGTCATCAAAGAGACATCATGTATACATGACGAACTTAACTTTTTTTTTTGAGAGAGGAAAATCATCCAATCATCTATCGCCTCGATACTATCGATACTATCGCCTCACCCGGGCGAGAGAAGCTCGCCCGGGTGAGGCGATAGGGAGACTGTTACTGACTAAAAACCACACCCCGTTTCTGCTCTTGCACTTCGAGCCGGAGCCTGCAACCCGTTAAGCCCTCGACCTACGATAAGGAACTTAGTCGATACATCTGCAGGCCAAAGCGCTCCTTAGCCCTTTGGCCTGCAATAGGATAATCAGGGCTGAAACTCTTTGCAAATAAATAAAATTGGAGTGTCTGTTGTAATGTCAAAATAAATTTTATAATGTCAAAATAAATACTTTTTTTTTTTATTTTATTGTCTATGGTTTTAGTAACTTTTCGTTCAGGAACATGTCAGCCCCGTTAGGACATATTTTCTTACATCTAACATACTTAATTATAGTTAATAAAAAAATTTAAAATAAACTTTGTACTGAGTACTGACTAATCTCTGGAATGGCTGGACCGGGTTTACAAGACTTTTATAGGCAGGTAGTTGATGTAGTCAGGAGTAACATAGGCTACTTTTATTTTTTACATCATGTTTCAAAAATTCATAATTATTGTACGCGGACGAAGTCGGGCAACAGCTAGTAAAAAATAAGTACCTAAATAATATTTTTTGTCAATATTATTCTGTAAGTGTGTAGTGTGCACAAATGTGTTCGATTTGACAAGAAAAAAAAATATCCCTTACGTTTATAAACACTGCATAAAATCCATTTCTTTCATTACAAAAAGAAAACGAAACTGAGGACATGTGTCGCTATCTACCGAGCGTTGTAATAACCAGACACAAGCAGTTAGCAAAGAAACAATGAACGTTACTCAGCTCTCTCGTAGTTCGAGAAGTAGGAAACAGATGGCGTTGTATTCAACATGTTGTTTGCTGAATTTTTGAATACAAAATATTAATTATTTTCTTTTATTCTTTTCAGGTAATAACGTCTTGATCAGTTTGGAATTGTTAAAGAATAAGATGGAAAACAGAAAGCGGAGTAAGTTTTATAGGTTTTTGATATTTTTCGTCATCATCGTTATAAGTAAACTATCTATTTAGGTATTTGGATTAAATTACTAGGAATAATTACTTAAGATACTTATGTTAATAACTTCTGAAGGTCCATAAATATCTTATCATAGGTGTTACAGCTTTACAAATTTCTCAAAATTAATTTATTCATTTGTACAACACGAATGATATCTTCAGAGTACTTAATTAAGTTTTAATTCGAATTAATAAAGGATTTTATGTAAATTATCAGGTTCTCAGTAAACTTTCTATATCACATTAATTTCTCGTATCATCTTTTTATTAACTCATCGAGTACCGGTTTTGTAGACACAATTATAGAACAATAGGTTGCGGTCACCGGTGACCGCTTGGTGTTTGACAGTTTATAATAACGTAGGTAGGTGTTAATACGACTATAACTTTATTATACCTACATAGAGGTATATTGCAAAACTTAACATTAATTTCAATTTTATGAGAAACACATACTTACAAGATTAATTAATAATTTTATTCATCGCATTTCATAACAACTTTTTATCCCCGAAAAGGTAGGCAGAGGTGCACATTACGGCACTTAAAATGCCACTGTACAATGTACAACACCCACTTTTCACTATTTATGTTACGAGTCCCATGTAATAGGGGGCGAGCCTATTGCCATATGCCGGACACCATTCCAGACATCATGCTACTACTAGGATTTTATTTAAAACCCAGTAATACTTTGCCTGACCCGGGTATAAAACTTGCGACTCCTTGCCCGGCAATCGCACTTGCGACCACTAGGCTAACGACGCAGTTGTTATAAGTTTAATATTTAAACTAATTATAGAACCCAAAACTAATTTATTAAAGTATTTTAGTATTACACTTAAGTTGGCAATTTAAGCATAAATCCTCTAAACGTATCTACTTATTAAACTTTTGAAAAGTTCTAACTGTGTAAATTTAATATTGCTTACATTCACGCGAAGGTCTTTCAAAGCCGAAATTATGTTATTTGCGAGAATCTTCACCCTAAAAATAGGTTACTGAAGGATATACACGGGGATATCATCAGTTAATTTTTAACTGCAGAATAAAATTGACATTTGACAGTTTTTAACATAACATAACATCACGCCTTTTATCCCCGAAGGGGTAGGCAGACAGAGGTGCACATTATGCCACTGTACAATGTAACACCCACTTTTACTATTTATGAGTCCCATGGGACTTATAACATAAATAGTGAAAAGTGGGTGTTACATTGTACAGTGGCATAATGTGCACCTCTTCGGCTAGATCGGCACTTGTACTCGAGACCCCTTACTCGGCAGACCCACTTGCTCACTCGAAATAAAACTAAGAAAATAAATCATAGTATAAAAATAAAACTATATTTCAAAACACATTTCAATAGGTTCAGCGGTTTTCGGCTTCAGCGTTTTCCTTATCGATGATACTTATCAATTCTTGAATGGCGCTTGGCTCCAACATGCTGACAGGCTGACCTCTCTTTATTACTGCGACCTGAAGAAATTATAACAGTAGTGGAACATCATCATCACCAGCCTATAAATGCCCACTGCTGAGCAAAGCCTCCTCTCACACAAAGAGGGTTTTAGCATTAATCACCACGCTTGCTCAATGCGGCGATTTCAAACTTATAATTAGAAATTATAAGTAAGTTAATATAAAGTAGTGGAACATACTATATTAATAAAAATGTACCTGAACAGCTACTTTTTTTTGAAACGTCTTTTTCGAGAAAAGCTCTACAAGTTTCGATTTACTCCGGGACTCATAATAATGGGCTGAATCACGTCGCTCACACCAAACCAAATGAAGCTATCCACGATTTTTATTTCAATTAACTGAAGAAAATGTGATGCAGATGTTTTTTAAAAGTGTTACCCTACACTATGATTTTCTCCTGTGTCGTAGGTGCGTTTCCGTCATACAAGTTCACATACACATGACACCTAGACCCATAACAACAATCTGTGGATAACACAAAGAGTTGTTCCGTGCGGGAATCGAACCCGCGACACGTTGCGCGGCAGCCAGTTGCCTAGCCACTACACCAACCGTGCAGTCAATGGATGGTGCTAGTACCACAAAATTGAAAAAATCCTAGTTTGAGGCAATGTTTAAAAACCGCTTGACATAAAATAAGTTTTCTACGACAAGTTCAAATAAAACGCCGCAGGTATCTAACCACATTGCACTTACGTAGTTAAATTTAACTGCAGTAGTAACGAGCTAACAGATTTATTTAATTGCCAACAAGTGCTCTAACTGAGTGCAGTTCAAGAAGTCTGTTGCGTTTAGTAAATATGCGAATGCTAATAACCTTTGAATATTCGAAAGTTTCTTTGTGAATTAACTAAAAATCGCGGGTTATCTTTGATATTTACCTATATCCTAGTACTAGGGAATATGTTAGCCATAGCTTAATAAAGATGTAAGGGTTTTACTACGAACATTCATCGCAAACAAAAATATTATAAAGGAAAAATATTTAGATTTATACGAGCGAACTGCAGCATCACTCGCGAGCAGCTCGCGATCATGCGAATAACTGCGCGAGTGGCGGTGTCGCAAAATCTACACTAACTTCAATAGACAAAGATTGTTTATATGTCTTCTGATTTTGTACAAATTTATTTCTATTTATAATACTTTAACAGTTACAGAACCACTTACATCCAAATTCCTCTGTCCAGAATGCACCACTTCCAATATCGTTCTTATCGCCAGTTTCATAGCTGCGTTGTCATTTTCCACCGCTTCAGCGTTGTAGTACTTCTCTAGGAACTCTCGGGCTGTCTTATCGTATTTACCTGTCGTGGTTGCCTGGTAAAAAGGGCATTTCATAAAAAAAACACAGCCGAATAAATTAGAAGAAACATATAGTTTAATCATCTGAAAAGCTAAGAATTGCAGATATTATCGATTTCGAATTGAAAGTATTGTATGGAACATAGCTTTGGGCTTTGTGTTCAATGTTTAAAAATGGACTCACTCTCTTGAAACTATGACTAATGCAAGATAATTAAAATTTTTAAGTAACTACAGACGTCAATAAAGTAAATTTATAATCTAGCATATCAATATCCATAGTCAGCCTTACCCTTAAGAGAAGAAATCGTGAGCATCAGTAAAGTTATACTAATAATCTTTTATTACAACTCTACAACTAACCTTCCACTCATAATAAATGCCAGAAGGTTCAGTCTGAAACAGATGAGGCTGTCCGTCATAGTCGAATCCTCCAACCAAGCAGGAGATACCGAAGGGCCTCCTCCCGTTACTCTGCGTGTAACTCTGTTTCATCTCTGCTATGTACCGAGTTATATATTCTATGGAGACCGGGTCCTCCACTGTCAGGCGGTGGGATTGACATTCTATTTGAGCTCTGTGGATAGAAAGGTTTCTTATGGTGTTAGAAACTTTTGGCTATTGCTTAATTAGGAACTTTAAGTTGGATTTCAACATGGTCGAAAAAGGTTCTATTTGAAAACGAACACAAGGAATTCTAGTTCTATTTAAAACTGGATAGTAGAGGTATATATGAATTATTAGCGGAAACTATCGTTTTTTCCTTCTCCTCTTATAATTTCTTCTGATTCATTTCGTTACGGGAACCAAGACAGTTATTCAAGTCCCTGGGACGCACCGGACTTCAGTGTTCCGGTATTTTCATGGTTGTATCTACTGTAGATCCTGGCTTACAGGAGTTGCAGCGGTTTTGGGAGGTTGTGGCGGGCTTGTCCCAAAATTATAGTAAATATGTATAGTAAAAAGGAATAAGTAAGTTAAAATACAATAACATTACCTAGATATCAAAACTCTAGCATCTGCTCTCAAGCCAGCAAACGCTAACACCACATGATCATCTAGTGGAACAATCTTCTTCTCCGTTCTCTCATCCTGTAGCTTTTCTACCGACTTTCTTTCTACTGCCAGTATAATGACGTTTGGACCTCTGATACCCACCACTGGTGACCCCTTCCTCACTGCTTCTTGGGCATATTGGACCTGAAGTAGCTGCCCATCTGGAGAAAATACTGTAATAGCTCTATCATATCTCGCCATTTCTATTTAAAAATAAATAATCCAAACTATTTCTTGTAAAAATAACATAAAAAACTCGAAATCCTTTCGAAAACTTTCGTCGTTGATTTGACGTTTCGTTTTTGACAGTTGAAATTTTTATTTGGTGTCGTTTGAGGCAAAGGTATGCAGTCATTCTGCCTTTCATTGCGAAAGTTTTAATTTAAATTTGAGTGTTCCGATTATGTTCCATTCGCTATTTTGGCATGTTTGCATCTGTTTAAATTATTACATGACAACATTGCACATTTGGTATTTAAAATTCCTTCCAGAAGTAAGAAATAAATTAATTTAACACACAAAATAAAGCAAGTTAACATTGTCTTCAAATTGCAGCTAAAATACCTTCATTAAATCAGTGTTGCCAGTTCCATATGTCTCGGGTACTCGTCGCGTTCGTTTTATTTGCACTTGATTCTGTCGCGACGAGATATGACGACGTTAATGTTGCCAGCTGATTGATTTTATTGACTTTCCCGCGCTTTGAAGTTTAACAAATTGCGCAGAAGGTGCTGGATGGAATGCGAACTTGGTGTGTGGTGTGATCTTGGTGTTGCAACTTCATAAATGTAATGAGCTGACGATAACTGGATGTACTTCAAATATATCTTTTGAGAAATAGTAGGCGCCACGATATGGGAGTAAATATGTTTCTTTCGAGTTTAGAATTATTTCTCCTCTACTTCCAAAGCTTTCATGAGACTCTTGTATAGATAGCATGTTATTGATCTTATTATAAAAAGGAATAAGTCTCTTACGAGTACCTATATTAACTGACGATGCCAAAAACCTAATACATTTATACTTTCAATCGCCTACTAAAACTTATCTGTAACTGAAACTTAAGAAAAAGAGTATTTTTTTGAATGGACATTTGAAATAACTTCGAGAAAGATCGACAATTCGATGGTATTATCAAGGTTGATCTCATAAAACACATTGGCGACCATATTCGTCGTCGCCTCTCGCCAAATTACTCTCGAACTAGTTAACATACAAATTGCTAATGGCGTCCAAGTTTGAACCGATCTTTTTTAGGGTTCTGCACACATGACATATCGAGTTACCTTATGCTGTTTTTAGTTTGAGACTTCCTATGTCATATATGTGTCGCGGAGAACCTAACGGGTTACCGGGGCTCCGGCTCGACGTGCAGGTGAAGGAACGGGGTGGTTTTTAGTCAGTAAGAGTCTGACACTCCCTCACCGAGGAGCCTCACCCAGGCGGGAGCAGTCATTCGATGATTTTCCCACCTTAAAAAAATGTCCTATATGTATAGGATTGCTATGTAGCAACCCTATGTTTTTTGCTGATCACATTTAAATTTTATATATTTAACTAGCTGACCCGAGACTTCGTACCACTTAAAACTTGTGCCTCACTTTTCGAACCTTCCCTGGACGTCTCCACGAACATTTTAAGATCAAAATTAGCCAAATGGCTTCAGCTGTTCTCGAGTTTAAGCTAGACTAACGAACAGCAATTCATTCTTATAAAGATGTGGTCAGCGTCTTTCCGCCAACTAGCCTAGCAAAGGGAATTCATGTTTCTATAATTTGACTGATTTCATGAACTTATCTCTTTCGAAAAATTAAAGTCGATCCAAAAATGTTGGATCACGATCGGTTTCGGTACTTTCTGCTGTTCGTAGTTCTATGAATTCGGATTGAAGTCTGGTTTTCACATTTATTTGATTCTCACAAATTACCTAACGGTAGAAGCCAGCGAAAAGTTTCACTCTGCCTCTCTATTATCGATGTTGAACAAGAAATTTATCTTGTGTGGTCCTTACAAATGTAAATTAGTAGGAACCCAACCTAATCCCCTGTTCAAATATAACGTACAAACGACTACTCATTGAGCTACACTTAACCAGTATATCTTGGTCTCGCTTCGTATGATCTTTACGCACATTCGACAGTCAGTTTATACTGGTTTTGCATAGCTTCATGTGTACAACTGGTTTCATCAAACCACTTGTCAAAGGTTGACAGGTTTAATTAGAATTATAGTTCTGATAATCGGATTCGGAAATTGTGGATGATAAATATTATTTATTTACTTGATTAGTCTTTCTAGCTAATTAATAATGATTTATTCCTTAAAATAAATTATTATTTAATGGTTGCCGGTTAGTTTTGTGGATATTTGAAATTGTCTTTTCTAGTTTATTATTGAGATTTATTTCGTTTAGCTCTCCGCCTGCGGCTTTGCCCGCGTCAAAAAGATTTTTTCTCGAGCAAGTCTCAATCCCGGAGGCATTTAAGGATGAAATATAGCCTATGTTACTCTTTGAAGAGTTAGCTTTGCAGTGGTATATAATTTTATCGCATCGTTCCAGAGGTTTCTGAGCCAATTTAGTGCAAACACACAAATCAATCTTTTCTCTTTATAGTTGCAAGCTAATTTTGTGTATTCTAGAAATGTTATCGTTTCTAATTTCGATATAAATTTTAATCATATTTGTATCTTTATTAGATAAATCCGTTAGTCTGTCTTTAATAGAAGTAATCGTGGACTACAAATGTATAATATCTATGGTCACAACTATGAAAGCTGTTTTGTGTCAGCTATAACTTCTTCGTATAGAAAAAAATATACACTGATATTTTTTTAGGGACGATAAAGGCCATACAACTTCCAAACAGGTGGTCCTGAGTTTAAGACCATGGATCAAAACCACTTTACTTGTAGAAGATTTAATATAAAATATTACAACATAATAATTGACTGCCTCGTTGACCGAGTGGTCGCAAGTGCAACTGTCGGACAAGGGGTCCCGGGTTCGATTCACGGGTCTGGCAAAGTAAAACTTGGTTTTAAAAAAAATCTCAGTGTAGCACGGAGTCTGGAATTGTGCCCGGTATGTGGCAATAGGCTCACCCCCTATTACATGGAACTCATAACATAAATAGTGAAAAGTGGGTGTTACATTGTACAGTGGCACTAAGTGCCGCAATGTGCACCTCTGCCTACCCCTTGGGGATTAAAAGGCGTGATGTTATGTTATGTTAAAAGAACACATCGTCGAATTATTTATAAACGCTTAAAACATGACTAATTAATTACTGAAATTCAGTCCAGTTCGGCTGACTAACTACAGATAACTAGAAGAAGTCATTTGCTTAGAAATATCTATAAATAAAAAATGTGAACCACTTAATATATTTCCAAGTACTCCATTTAAAAACAGATGGACTTATTAGGATATTTTTAAAATACATTTTTATAGACATCTAGTTAATCATAGACCCTTTTTTTTCGTATCTTCTCTACAGTTATGCTATTATTTTTCTCGCTCACTCTTTTCTTATATAATTTTAATCAACTACACCTTCTCCTGCTCCGAATCGAAGCAGGAATTTAGTTAGTAAGAGTCTGAAAGTCTCTCGTCTTACCTCATGGTTGCTTGAGGACGTCGTTAGAAGGGCACCACAGAAATATTTTTTTTTTCTATTGTATTCACTTGTCTTGTGCTCATAGTTATCGTTATCAAAACCCTTGACACCGTAGATCATCGACCAACAACATTTAAACAAAATAATACTGTTAAATAATACCGGAAAATAGAAAAACGACCTTTATCAATTCATTATAAATTCTATTTTTCCATGTGCACAACGAAGGTTTAAATTACATAACACTATGTAGAATTCATTCATACGCCCGTAGTACCATATGATGTAACTTGTTTGTCGTATAACCTTCTCATCTACTCATACCCTTAACGACTAACCGTGAAGTTATTTGCTGACCGTGGGCGCAGTGGGGGCGAGCATTGCCAAATATGCAGGTTTGATGCCCGTCTGATGTCATCGGTATCGATTCGAAATGAGCTCATAATATTGTGTCATTTGGTGAATGAGAGGCTTTTGGCATTTTAGTTGTGAATTGAGTAGTTTTTAAGTTAGTATTAACATTGAATCTTTATCACTACATAGTATAAAACAAAGTAGCTATTCGGCGTCTGTCTGTCCCTATGTATGCTAAGATCTTTAAAACTACGCAACGGATTTTGATGCGGTTTTTTTAATAGATAAAGGGATTCTTAAGGAAGATTTATATGTATAATACATGCATTTTGCACCCGTGCGAAGCGGGGGCGGGTAGCTAGTATACGATAATCTCTAGAACTACAAGAACGATTCAATGTTTCTAATGTGGTATAGACTTATAGAGAATTATACAGCATTTAACAATTACCGCCAGTTATGGTATGAAAGTATTGGCCAGAGAAAGAAGAGAGGAGTGGAAGGAAGGTAGGGAGGCCTTTGCCTGCAGTGGGACGATCATGGGTAAAAATAAAAAAAAATATGGTATGATTGAATAGTGGGAAATGTTAATGACGTCATCGTCAACATTATCATCATCATCATCATCATCTTTTGTTTTCATCCAACACTGAACGTACTGATATAAAATCGAGACTGTCTTATTGTTATTGCGAATTATAAAAACTCATGGACCTTTGTCCGATTAGAAGCATGGTCAAAATCACCTTAACCGATGGATCGCAGAAATAACTTAAAAATTATTATTATGTGACATCAAACCGTATATTTTAATCAGACTTGTATGTTAAAACATATTTATCGTATGCATACTAAATCAATTGCCAAGCCATCAATGGCCAACACGTGATAGGCTCAATACATTTTTTACCAACACACAGTCAATAGAACAAAAAAAAATATTCATAATTAATCAAATGCTGACCTTTCTCATTGGAGTAACGGTGTTTGAGAAAAAAGTACGCGATATGTCGCCCCAAACTGTATCAACATAACAGCACTTAGGATAATCAGTTAGCCAGTACCTACAACTACGACTAACTGTTGTTAGATTACAAAGTTATTTATGCAGGTGGACGAATTTGGAACTAAAAGATTGACATTGAGCCTAAAGAAAAATCAAGGCCGGTAACGCACCTGTGACTCCTATGGTGTTGCGGTTGTCCATGGGCGGCGCTGATCGCTTACCATCAGGTGATCCATCTGCTCGTTTGCGGCTTATTCCATAAAAAATAATAATAATGCCATTTGACAAGTATTTCTGAAATATCTCTGACTAAAAGAAAATTAATAATTATGAAACGCAACTTTGTGAAACTTCACGTAGCCACAAAGTAAATCATTATAAATGTGTTACTAAGCGTATACGCCAGCCTCTCACGTTGAAGTTTAAGGAAGTATCGTAAGAAAAGAAAATTTGGAAGTTGTTAAGAATAGGAAACCCCCAAAACGCTTAACTTTTCTACTTGAACATCTGAAAACATTGACATCACGTGTTTATTCTACCTTGGTTCAGTTACACACACTGGCGCCACGATCAACCGCAAACATAAGTTGGTATTTTCGTACGAAGTGCAATACTTTTTGCCGCGCTAATCT